GCTCTCGGGACACAGAGGCACTGCTGTCCTTCCTGTCCCCGCCTCAGCCCCCGGACGGCTGCCGGGCGGCCCACGGGAGCGCTGCGGGCGTCCAGGGGCCTGCCCAGGCCCCGAGGCACGGCCGGGGGAAGGGGCACCCCACTGCCCGGACCCGAGGCACGGCCGGGGCCGCATCCCCCACCTGCTGGGCGCCCCAGAACAGGCAGCCACACATGAAGCAGCCCCCCGGCCCACCCACACCCCGCCCGCCTCTGCCCCGGGCCCGGGGGCAGGCCGTGGAGCCCTGGAGCCCACCCCGGGTGTCTCCAGGTCTGTGTGCCCAAGAAATGCCAGGAACACGGCCCAGAACTCAAGCCGGCCCCTCCCACTGCTGCGGCGTGGCTGCCACACGGCGGTGAGGGGACCCCCCCCATGGAACCCCAGGGCCCAGGGCCTGACAGGAACAATAGCCGACCGGGGCGCGGAGCTGGGACCCACGGCAGCTGCCGGCGCGGGACGGGGCGCTGGTGCCAAGCTGGGCACAAAGGGGCCGTGTTCCTGGCCGGCGGGCGGATGTTTGCACAGGTGTGGGAGTAGGAGCGCGCTCGGCCACAGACGGGGCCCGAGGGCCTGGGGATGGGGTGAGCCGAGACCGGGGAACAGCTCCAGCGGGCAGTAGGGAAGGCAGGCAGGGCAGTGCCAGAGCTGGGCACTGCTTATTGGCCTGCTACACCCTGCCGTCCACACGGTCCTGCACTGCCTGACACAGCCAGGAGCTGTGGCTCAGCCACCTATCCTACCACAGGGCCCAGTGCCCGGCACCAACACGGGCCTGACTGACCCCCACACGGCCCTGACCTCCACACAGACCTGACTCCCACACACCCCCTGACCTCCACACACCCCCTGACCCCCACACGGCCCTGACCCCCACACACTCCCTGACCTCCACACAGACCTGACCCCCACACACCCCCTGACCCCCACACACCCCCTGACCTCCACACAGACCTGACCTCCACACACACCTCCTGACCTCCACACAGACCTGACCTCCACACACACCCTGACCTCCACATGGCCCTGACCCCCACACACCCCCTGACCTCCACACACCCCCTGACCTCCACACGGCCCTGACCTCCACACAGACCCTGACCC